TGCTCTTCCGTGCATCAGGAACTTATCCTCACCCATTCAGTGATCCTACACAAAGCATGGAAAGAAACCTATGGGATCAAGGAGATCCCATCCTCTCACAATAAAATGTTACAGTCCTGTGGATCCCCGTGGTCTGATGGGAGAGGACATTTTGCGCCTCTGCAGGCAAGCAAACAAGCAGTATCTTGCTTTCTTCTCCATGTTCTTCTCGCTGGAAAGCGGGTATCAAACCAAGGGCCATCATCTTCAGGGCACGTGATGTAAGAGTTCCCTCAAAAAACTCCTTTTCATCTGCTTGGTCACAACATATATGTTACGTGCTGTCAAGCTGGAACCAACTCATAGCAAACTCTAAGTCTGTCAAGCCAACCGAGATATTCAAGGAGTGGTTTTATCAGACCACCCACCCCTCGTGAGTTCTTTGGCCAAGCAGGGATTTGAACTTGGGTCTCCTGAGTCCTAGCCCATCACGCTGTCTACTACACCCATCTGGGTACCCTGCTGCAACAGTACATACCGCCACACCAGACTGAATGCACTCAGTCTTGTCTGGTTTTGGAAGCCAGAGTCATGACCATTTCCCTTGGGAATACCCAAAATCACCAGGCAGGAAAGAATTTTCTCTGAATCTCTGGAGAGCTGCTGCCCGTCAGAGCCAATTGTGCTGGGTCTCATGGAGGAATGGCCTGAGGCAGTATAAGGCAGCTTGCCGTGTAGGATAGGAGCTTAAGGTGGAGTTCACAGTGATGTATGGAAGTGAGAGCTGGACCATAAAGAATGCTGACTGCCAAAGAATTGATGCTTTTGAATTGTGGTGCTGGAGGAGACTCTTGAGAGTCCCCTGGACTGCAAGGAGATCAAACCTAACCATTCTAAAGGAAATCAACCCTGAGTGCTCCCTGGAAGGACAGATCCTGAAGCTGAGGCTCCAATACTTTAGCCATCTCCTGAAAAGAGAAGACTCCCTGGAAAAGACCCTGATGTTGGGAAAGTGTGAAGGGAAGAGGAGAAGGGGTCGACAGAGGACGAGATGGTTGGACAGTGTCATCGAAGCGACCAAGATGAATTTGACCCAACTCCGGGAGGCAGTGAAAGACAGGAGGGCCTGGCATGCTCTGGTCCATGGGGTCACGAAGAGTCGGACACGACTTAACGACTGAACAACAACAAAGGTGGAGTTGATAAGAGAGACATAGGGAGCCGATCAAATTATAAGATGGGGCTAACCTGAAACGAAGAGAAAGTCTGATGGCTTCCTTCATGTTCTGAAAAGAAAATTATGCACAGAAGAGGATCTCAAAGGATTCAGATGCTTAAAAGTGGAGATGAAAAGGGGCATGCATACTCATACTAATGGCTTGCTAAGAATCATTATAATGACAGGACCTATGGAAGATCAAAACAAAGACTTCAAATGCTAGGAAATATAGTTGTCACATAGCAAAATGAACTGGAACTTAGATGTCTTCTTAAGCTGATCTTGAGCAAGGGAAAACTTACCATTCAACCACAGTGTGCTGAATAATGATAATGATGATGATTTTAAGAGGTATAATTTCTTTCCTTGGCTCGAATGATTCATGATCCATTAGTTCTATTCCCAAGACAGGAGAATAAAGCCTCTGCAACTCTGGGAAGAGAGTGAGAGTCTATATATCGAAAGATGGGATGTAAAGCGTCCGCCTTCAAAGAGGGCAACCTATTGGTGTAAACCCATGGACCTAGCCTACAGCTGTAGGACTTAAACAAACAAACAAACCAGCACCCCTGCATGGTGTGATCATTTGGCAGATTTTAATGAGTCTGAATTACTTGAGAAGGGGAAAAGACTCTTTGGAAAGAGTTTGGAATCTCCAGCAGTCTAACCTGCTGCGGCCAGGCTGCTGACCGGAGCCAATAATAATGAGAACAGAAATCCAAAGTGCTGGACTTGTCCTATAAAGCCTTATATATGGTTTGAGTCCAAAGTACCCAAAGCTCTCTATTTCCCTATAAGATCCTGGCCCAGGATTGAAGCTCTTTTTGGGGAGGAGGTCTTTCTCTCAGTCCCACTGCCTTTATAGGCATGCCTCATTCAAACATGAAACAGGGTGTTTTCAGTGGCTGCTCCAAGGCTGGGTTACTGTCCCCAAAGTCAGGTGCCCCCCTTGTCATTCGTACACAAGTAGGCAAAGATCCTTCTGTTTAGGTTGGCATTCGGCAACGGTAAAAGGTTCCCCTTGAACTTCATTCCAGTCGTGTCTGACTCTAGGGGATGGTGCTCATCCCTGTTTCCAAGCCATGGAGCCAGCATTTGTCCGTAGACAGTTTCCATGGTCACGTGGCCAGTGTGACTAGACATGGAATGCTGTGACCTTCCCACCGTAGTGGTACCTATTTATCTACTCACATTTTTATATGCTTTTGAACTGCTAGGCTGGCAGGAGCTGGGACAAGCGACGGGCGCTCACTCCGTCGCGAGGATTCGAACTGCTGATCTTTTGACCTTGCAGCCCAGGAGCTTTGCGGTTTAACCCACAGCACCACCACGTCCCTAGTCGGCAATGGACTCTCTGCCAAAGAAGGAGTTTTTTAGAGGATGATCACTTTTTATCCTCCCCCCCATGTGTATTAAAATGATTTTATTCATTAGCTTCAACATGATAGTATTCATTAGTTCTAACACAATAGTATGTTTAATGGCTTTGTTACTTGTATATTTTTTTTGAAGTTTTTTAAAAAGCTCTATTTGTCTCTTAAATATTTTGTCAGTTCTAGTCATTGGCTAGATAGCTCAAGAGCAATGAGTTCGAATGACCGCGTGCCTCTTCAGAGAACAGCCATTATGTGACTCTGGGCAAGCTAATTATTCCTAGAGCACCCCCAGGTGAAGGGGCTGATAAACGATATCTGAATATTATACCTAGAAAACCTTAAGAAGGCACACCACCATAAGTTAGAATTGATTTGATGGCACAATTAAACTTCACTGAATTTCCTTTACTGGGAGACAGACAGGATAAGAATAGACTTCAAGATGAATGAAAATATATATTAACTTTTTTGGGTTGCCCAGAAAATCTCAACGTGGCCTTTCTGGTGCCCTTCAGATCTGTTTATCCACCATTCTCATCATGCTGGCTAGGAATGAAGACAGCCGAAACCCCACACATTTGAAAAATGGTACCTCGAGAAAGACTGGCTTAGAGCAAATATGTATTCTTTTCAATTATTAAACTTTATTTGAATTTCATCCCAGTTGAATGAAGGAAAGAATAAAATGTAGTCACTGAAACAAAAACAACCCAAAAACCATAAAGCAAAATAAAACAATAGATAAACAAGGAGCCGATGCAACTAGATGAAAATATAATAAATCACAAAAGTATGGCAACACTGACACAGGAATGGTATCGTCAGCTCCTCAGAAATGGAGGAAAATCTTTTGACAACCAATCTCATCAGCCAGTTCAAGGGCATAAAACAAGTTGAAGCCAGAATTCCTGTGTTCAAGTGGCCTGCCTTTTGCTCATGCTCACACACCAAAGTTCAAAGAGTCTCTGTGCTACACCTCTCCCTGATGATTTAATTCTGATAGAACTCCCAACATTTATTTTCAGACAGGTTTCTGCAAGTTTCTTCTGAAACTTACCTCTGCAAGAATAATTCTGCAGTACATGAAAAATTCCCTCCCCTGTGTTATTAACTAGGTTTTCTGGCACAAAACTTTAGCCTATTCATTGCTAAAACATCCATTAATTCCTAAACTTCTGCATCAATGAGCCATATATGGCTTATGATGAACTTTAGATTGCTGAGGGGGTCAATTGACATACTGGATTAAATCTTTTTTGTTTAATATGGACCATATATGGCTTATGATGAACTTTAGATTGCTGAGGGGTCAATTCACATACTGTACTGGATGAAATCTTTTTTGTTTAATATGGGTGTAACTAAACTACCAAGTTAGCCCAGGCTAGATTGGAATAAACAGAGTTGTTTCAAGATGCATTATGTCATTTAGAGTTATCTTTGCATTCACACTCAAGCATCAGGTGGTTGCAGGATAAGAAACTGCACCACATCTCATACTGACCTTATTTAGCCTGTTCCTCTTTCTCTGCCTTCATGCCACCATGCCCCTCTCCTTCCTCCTTTCCATGTGGGAGTAGAAGTAAGCTGGGTTTTTAAAACAATTATTGAGAAGTGGCATAGCGCTGAACTGGCTTGCCACATAAGTGATATGAAACACCCACCAGTAGCACTGGTTTGGTTCATTTCTGCTGATCACACACAGAGGAAACTGAACTCAAATGGAGTGCTCCTAACCCCGCCCCCCCCTAAAAAAACAGACGTCTCTTCCAATAAGGGCCATGGAAGAGAATCAGACTGGTTTGCAATTGCCTATACTGCATCTCGTTTAGTCACCATAAAACAGATTGAACCTGACCATGTAGGATAAATCGTTATCTGGTCACTCCCTCAGTCACAACCAGAGCTAGACCAATGACTCAATGGAATCTACATAGAAGTTGACACGCCACATCCCCACTGATTCCGTGGGCTTACTCTAGTTGTGACTTACTAGACGAAGCAACAGGATTTCAGCCACTAAGTTAGAAAACATTCTGTTTTCACTTGTTTAACTTGACCTATTAAAGCATCCCCATGGTGCAAGATCTAAACCTGAGAACAGGGTAGAGATCCATAGATTTAGCACGTAATTTAGCAATTTCTAAACCTATTAAACTGGCATGTGTGGCGGGTATGTGTGTGGGTGTTTCATGGGAAGATTCTAATCCACTCCCCCAGGCCGTCTAATCATATTACCAACACTGAGGGGGAAAGCGAGGTTGTAGCAACTTCCCCTTTGAATTGTTCCAGAGAATCAGTCTTCCATGAATGAATTCAACAACTCATTTCTTCCCAGGAAAACATACTGCTGAATCTCAAGAAGAGACACAATTAGCTTTCACCATCATCACAGAACCAACACGGAGGAGACCAGAGAACCCTACCTTCCGTGAAGCATGTTTCTCTGAATTTTCCACATCTCCATCCAGGAATGGCATGGCAAATGAGCTGAGATCCTAGAAGAAAAGGAAAACAGTAGCACGTTAACACCTTTAAAGGTATCATGGCCCATCTTTAACAGGCCTTAGTAAGGTTACTTATTTAAAAGAACCAAGCAATTGCTCTGCAGTTGGGAAGAATAGTTCTTGGCAAATACAGGCATTATTATGAAATTATTTGGTAAGAAGTAGCAAGGGTCTAACAAGAAAAGCATGAATGGTTCAGAGCTCTGGAGAAAATTCGGTGGTTCCAGCATCTCATTGAAACATGTATTGGATGAAAGACAAGGCAAATACATTTAAAGCCAGTCTTGGGCTCTATATTCCTTTGGGGTTGTGAAATCAAATCTTTAAAGAACCCCCCTTGGCTTAGGTTCTTCTCCATGAAGCAGAACAAACCTCTCTAGAGACCTTCTTCAATATACACTGCAGTCTTCTCCTTTCAAGAACAGAAAGGACAACTGGTTGAAATACAATCCTATTTCCAAGGAAATGAGACATCTGGGTTTCCTGTGTAATGCCCCACCTATTTCTGCAGTTAGTGAGAAGCAGTTATTCTCCATCCCACCCCGGCAGAATTCTTGTCTTGTATAGCTTGTTCTCCTTCTAGAAAGTTCTGGACTGGAATGCTCTCAGATGCATGAGGAAGAGGGATTCCTTGGCTTTCCAGTGCTTTCTTTCACACAGCTCTGTGTCTCGTAATCCCAAACCACACAACATAACTCAAACATTTATGACATCTTTTATCGTTCGTAGCAATCTTCATACCTAGCAGAATACATAAAGCATCAGGAGCAGAAGATTGACACCAGGACAGTGTTTTAAATTACATTCAAAGAAAATTATATTTTCTTGCTACAGTTCAATATATTTTCATTAGCAGGAACCAGGCGGTTGTTAAATCAATTAACAATAATTAGCAAAAAAAGTCAGAAGGGAGGGAAAGCATTTATAGTGACAATCAGGTAGCTCTGAACGATGCAAGGAAAATTACACTTATGGGACAAATATGTCTGAGTTATCTTTCATTAAGGAAGAAAAAGTGGAAGTGCATCGCTACTTGCTTGTTGGCTAGTGGACTTTCATTTTTAATGAATAATATCCTGCTTGGTATTGTGATCCGGTTCCGAAAGCAGCTGATGTAGGGTTGAGGGAAATACCTCTATCTCTTTGCTCTTGGCTGTGTGATCTGATCTCTGATCTCTGCCTCTTCTATGATCTCCTTGGTTGCTGCTGGTTTTTGCATTAAATCAGGAGTTTGCTGCATTCACCCTGGTTAGTTTTGTATTTAGCAAAGCTGTGCTTGCTTAAATGTCATTGCCGCATATCGATTTGTTTTCTGCTTTAAAATCTTTTTTTTGTTTTGTTTTGTTTGATAACCTAAGTTCAGTCCAAGCACCGGGATCACTTATCGTCTGACACCGCAGGGCCAAACTGCACACCCTGGTGACTTTCCTGCAACACCTTCCTACTGTCTACTGAAAGATGACTTGCAGATCCACGGATCACCACTTGCAAACTCCCGGATTAAGAGAAACAAGAAAAGCAGGTTGGGTCGACTTCAAATGATCCAGGAAGGAAACAAGAAGTGTCGCTGTGAGAGTCATTCTGCCAAGGAGCAGAAGCAAGAGCATCCGGCGTGCTGAGCCTACAGAAATATTTACTGATGGCAAATAAAGCTCTATGGATTTTCTGTGCTGATTCCAAAAACCCACCTTCTATTTAATAAGTTTACTTTTGGTTCCGGTAAGAACATGGCCACAGGCCACAGGGAAAGCAAGTAAGAGCATAGCTTCTTCCATGTTTGTACACATTTACACGGTATGATGTAATTTGATTTGTGACAGATAGGACTTAAGCAAAGATATAGCTGCTGGCAGACTATCTCTTTACATATTCTTTCACACGCCATTACTGGCAGAAGATTTCTCACAATGGCATCCAGACAGCTGGAAGACAAACTGGATTATTTTGGCCATCGAATGAGAGAAGAGGGACAACATTTATGACGAGTGTCCATAAAACAATCATCATTGTATCTCTTTTCATTTTCCAACCCCATATCGAGAACAAGAGTGCCTACAAGCCTGTGGTCTGATCCTTGCACTCCAACTCTGGAGAAGTTGGTGATGCCCAGAAAAGCTCATGTCTAAACCTTATTTGTTCATCTTAAAGGAGCCACAAACCTCTTGGTTGATTTTAGAGCAACCGACTAACACAGCTAACTCCTTGGAAAGATGCTTGAGTCTTTCTGCTTCCACTGTGGATTTCAAAAACCAGTACTGTCACATCTCTTAGCTCAAAAAATGCAACCCTCAGCGTGTCCTTTCAAGACATAAACTTCACGGCTGCAAAGCGATGCACATTCACCTGGGCTGCGGAGAAGTATATGTCACGGTGGGGCTTACAACAGAGCCAACGTGTTCAAGTCAGCTTAACTTCTCACAGATGGCTGTGTGATGTGCTTTGACACCAAGCCATTTTTATACAAATGCACATATTATTTTTAAGTGTGATTATGCTCCCTGTGCTCCCTGTAAGTGAGTAATGTGCTAAGCATATAAAGAATACAAACCTTGAGGCCCTCTGAAAACAACTGAAGCAGACTATAGTACTGTATATGGTTCTACTCTAGGAAGTCATATGTGCTTTGACACCAAGCCATTTTTATACTAATGCATATATTATATTTAAGTGTGATTATGCTCCTTGTGCTCCCTGTAAGTGAGTAATGTGCTGAGCATAGTGTATAAAGAATACAAACCTTCAAGCCGTCTGAAAACAACTGAAGCTGACTATAGTATATGGTTCTACTCTAGGAAGTCAACACCACACACAGGACTCCCAATCCATTTCTGTTCTAGATCACACAAGGCCCTAGCAATTCCTGGTGCTGTTCCTGTATAAACCTGCTCCGCTCATCCAAAAGGTTCAGAAGACGTGTTATCTGCCCATGGCACACAGAGGGCACGGCCTCCTTGGTGGTGGCACCAAGACCACAGAATTCTTTCCTGTGAGATTCCTCAGCTGCCTTTTTGTGCCTCTCTCTATGTAGTCAGAGTACTAGTCTAGACTAGAGAGTTGCCTCTCTCTATGTAGTCAGAGTACTAGTATAGACTAGAGAGTACCGAACGGCTTTGCGGTGTGACCATGGAAACTGTCTTCGGACAAACGCTGGCTCTGTGGCTTGGAAACGGGGATGAGCACCGCCCCCTAGAGTTGGACACAACTGGACTATATGTCAAGGGGAACCTTTTACCTTTTTGCCTCTCTCTATGTAGTCAGAGTACTAGTATAGACTAGAGAGTACCGAACGGCTTTGCGGTGTGACCATGGAAACTGTCTTCGGACAAACGCTGGCTCTGTGGCTTGGAAACGGGGATGAGCACCGCCCCCTAGAGTTGGACACAACTGGACTATATGTCAAGGGGAACCTTTTACCTTTTTACGTAGTCATGGACTAAGGGTCAAGGGGAACCTTTACCTTTTCACGTAGTCAGTAAAAATGCTACTATTCATTCCACTCTTCTTATAAACAGATGGTTTTCTGTTTTAAATGTTACAACACTGTTTGCTTAAATGTTCAGTTTCGTGCTGATGCGAAGTACAAACATCATCACAACAGGCACTCCAACCTCTGAGACACACCAGCTGTAACAGCTGTCAGGTCAGAGAGTCTGATACCAGAAAAGATAGCTGGAGCAAAGGAGCAAAGGACGGCACTATTACAGCAATTAATTTGGATTGTATTTATAGAAATTACCCTAATAAAGTATTATTACCATTGCAACTGTGGCAGCTACATAAAGGCTCCAACATGATCGGCAGTCTACAGTAACTTCAACCATGGTGCAGCTTTCTATACATAGGCCAGGCACTTGCCCCCTAAATGAGTTACTGTCTGCACAACAGCTGCAGGGAAGGCACTTTTGATTTGAGCTAAGAGCCACCTATGAGAATACTGATCTATTAAGAGGTAAAGGGGTCCTTACCTGTATGCATGAAACACTCCATTACATGCATGAAAATCCAATAAATGCAGAAAGAAGTGGAGTTGTCATTCTGTCTCACGGCCACTGGGGGGAAGAACAGCTGTTCTCACTGCTTGTTTAGGTTCTTCTTGGTTAATAGCCATGAGTAATTCTCATGAGCAAAGAGATCAGCTGGCATGCAATAGCACTAAAGCTTGAAGGCTGCTATTATGGCTAATTATTATTAATCCTTTATACAGCATATTCGGCATCTAAACAGATCCTGTCCCAAATTCAGGATCATGACCATAGACAGGTGTGTCAAATCTGAAGACCGAGAGAACGCTTTCTCCAGCCCACAGTCCTGGATACTGAACTGCACTAGAAGACGGAAGACACAGGTGTCGGAAGAGTAGAACCAATACAGAAGGCAATTATGTTTTGTTGGCCGTGCAAAAAACAGATGGAGATGCCTCGTATAGTCACAGTCCATCTGGCCAATCCAGAAGCTTCATGCTGCCTGCCAATAACAGGAGCTGATGTTAGATATTCTGAACACGGAAGAGGATTCTATCATCTGCAGCCACACAACAGATTAAATCCTAGCCTCACATTTCACACATTGGGTTCTCTAAGATATATTTTAAAACAAAACAAAACAAACTGTACCAGGTATCATTCAAGGTATGTTACCTGTACAAGATCCAGAATCAAGATAACCAGGTTATTTCACTCACACACATGTATTAAAGGCATCAAGCTGTTAACTGGGTCAGGTTGAGGATGTGTCAGAATAGCAAAATAGTCAGTGAGGCAGTGCGTGAGGTGTCTACATGCAACGAGCCATGCAAGAGCGGTTTGATTTATCGTTTCGGGCATCAGGTAGAAACTTCTGTACACACAGGTCTGGTAAGAATTTCTGATTAAATACCAAATATTGATCTCACAGTACGTTTACGACCTCTTAGAGCAACCTACCTAGGAGGGTGTACATTCCATGTTTGTTTGTTTGTTTTGAACAGTTGTAACTTAGTATTTTCCCGTTTCTATACTTTGCGCATCTTCTCATGTTAGAGAAGGGAAAAAGCCATCTGAAAGGTTACAATTAGCATGATCCTCTCCTAAATCCTAAATCCTTATACAAATTAGTACTATAGTCTATGTTACTGCTGGACAGCTCCGTGGTTTAGGTTTTGGCTGTGGAGCCAAAGGTTGGGAGTTTGATTCCCCACTCCTCCCCCCCCCCTTTGATAGGGGGTAGACCGGATGATCCATCCATACTTTTCCTTCCTGCTCTGCAGTTCTCAGATCACCTTATCTACAATTTTTTTCATTTCAATTTGCAAATAAAGTTGCACGATGATCTTAATACTGTGGTCTTGCATGTCTGGCCGTTCGGTCCTACACGGCTTACTTCTGTGAGCCACGCTCTACCTCATGGAGGTGGCTATTTACAGCCTCTGGAAAAAATAGTTTTCCCTTTCCTTTTTTACTGGGTCCTCGTAACTCTCGATGTCAGGAGTGACACTGACATCTTCTGCTTATAAAACATGTCCTTGCTATTGACCTATCTCGCCTCTCGAAATCTGGATCAGAACTTGGGAAAAAATATATTTATTTATATTGTTATCCCGTCCAACCAACAGTGGTGGTGGGAGCTAAAGTTCCCCCACGCCCTCCACGGCCACTTTCCCTAGCTTCAGCCTAAATGTAACTCTTACCTACCTTGACATTATTTCTAAGGCATTCTTGGTTGTGACAATTGTTTTAATATTTGTTCACCTCTTTACTCATTTTGCTAAAAAAAAGAGAAAATCGCTCTATGTTAAATGATGGCATTTTACCATCATGACTGGCCCATGCATCCGATGAGAACCCAGGTCAAACCAGAAGCCAAACCTGGGCAATGATCTACGAACACAGTCTACGACGACTGCCAATATTCTTGCTTCTTGGAACGGTTCCTATCTGGCATATGCTTTTACTGCTGTCTCTCCTCACCACATCCTTTTACAAGAACTGTCTGTGCTGAAACAGGCTGCTGTTCCTTTGGCACTTGTAATCTGTCTCCTGGAAAACCTGTGAGCAGAATAAAATGGAGAAAGCCCACTTGCTCTTGTCTCCAGCATCTTTGGGTTAGGTGTTTTGCCTGGCTTGGTCCCCTTGCATCCGAAAAGCAATGGAAATCTTCCTTCCCAATTGTAATCCCAACCTCACCCAAATCTTCCTACAATCAATACAATCCTTTATCCACAAGGATGAAACGGATGCGTCGAACGTTTGGGTAATGACTCTACTTCTGGCAGTGAAGTCTTTTGCTCCCTTTGATGTATGGAAGTGAGAGCTGGACCATAAAGAAGGCTGGCCACCGAAGAATTGATGCTTTTGAATTGTGGTGCTGGAGGAGGCTCTTGAGAATCCCCTGGACTGCAAGGAGAACAAACCAATCTGTTCTGAAGGAAATCAACCCTAAGTGCCCACTGGAAGGATGGATCCCAAAGCTGAAGCTCCAATACTTTGGCCATCTCATGAGAACAGAAGACTTCTTGGAAAAGACCCTGATGTTAGGAAGGTGTGAAGGAAAGAGGAGAAGGGGACAGAGGACAAGATGGATGGACAGGGTCACTGAAGCGAGCAACATGAATTTGACCCGGGAGGCAGTGGAAGACAGGAGGGCCTGGCGTGCTCTGGCCCATGGAGTCACGAAGAGTCGGACACGACTAAACGACTAAACAACAACAATTTGCCACCATTTCCCTCCATCACCTGTGTAACTAGCAATACAGTATACTATTTCTAAATATGGAAGCAACATATAGCTATCATGGTTAAGAGATCTGTTTCCTATGAATTTCTCCAAAGCTCCTCCAAATTGCCTAAACCAGTGATCATTTACACATACTGTGGCTCACATTTCCTGAACCAATTTTTTTTTGAAATGTTGACAATTCCATTGATAAAGAATGACACATACATACATCCAGATGTAGGGCATTACTGTAGCAACACCAACAATTTTTCTCCCTGAATTTGACTCAGTGTCTGTTTCTCTTCTGGCACAATGGGAAATGTTGCAATCTGATGTCTTCTCTGTTGCAATCTTTCTACCACTATTCCCAACACAGTTTCACAAAGTGAAAAAGGCATTCTGGAAGGAAGAATTCAAACCTTCACCCATTACTGCAGAAACTGAAACTGACAGAGAGCAATCAAAGAGCGCCTAGTCAAGAGGAGATCAGATTTTTTTTTCCTACCCCCTAATCCCACAGCCTGGACAAAAAGAGCCTGAAAAAAGGATGCTTTCAATTAATCTTACAAAGAACTTTGGTGAAAGGCACTGGTCTGTGAGTCATTATAGATGGGTCTTGCTTTTAAGGACTGGTGCTAAGAGATCAAATATGGAGTATATTTAAAGTGTTGTTGTATGGATCCTGTCAACTGAAGGGAAACTATACTTTGGAAAAAACCCAAGAGTGGAAGCAATCTCTAGCACAAGGGTTCCCAAAGTTTCTAGAATCACAACCAATCCTTTATTTCCGATAAACTCTCACACTTTCCCACCTCTCTTTTAACATCACCCAGCCCCTACTTAACAACAACAACAACAAAAATTGTGATTGAACATTCAAAATAAACACAAAAACCTGGTAATTTTGTTTACATTAAAAATAATCACAAATATAATTTTCTTTTCACGAAAAGTTAATGATCTATAATACGCCTTAAAGAAACAGCAGAAGCCAAACGAAGGGGGGAAATGAGCAGTTTGTTCAAGCTGGCGAAACTATTCTTTATTATGAACATCTCAAAGTCTTCTGCCCATGTATTCTGCCCATCATGCAAGCTGTCCCTGCTTACCTGGGGAGCACTTCCCCTTGCCCCAGGTTGGGAACAATGCTCTAGACCAGTGGTCCCCAACCTTGGGTCTCCGGATGTTCTTGGACTACAACTCCCAGAAGCCTTCATCATCACCTCTGCTGGCCAGGATTTCTGGGAGCTGAAGTCCAAGAACATCTGGAGGCCCAAGGTTGGGGACCACTGCTGTAGTGCAGTGGATATGAGGCCTTAGATATTCATGGACTACAACTCCCAGAAGCTTTAGCCGTCACAGCCAACAGTCAGGAATTTGTATTTCAAGAAGGTCTGGATCCTTGGGTTTCAGAAACGGTCCTCTGGTGAGCAGAGACACAAGAGGCACAGATGTTGCTACCAGAGCTACAGCCGTTGCTATGCCTCTACCAATCACCTTTACAAATCAGCAAACTGTTCACCTTACCTGTGAGGTCCCAACAGGTGGGAATGGAGGATCAGACTGGATCTGCTCATCTGTCTGAGCCTCAGAAGCTTTCCTGCCTCTGCTGGTCATTCTAAACTGTGAGCAGAATGTTCATCTTCACTGCCAAGCAACCGGGGCTAAGGAAAGAAAGACGATGATCCTCATCTAGCCGAACGTTAGCTTCTAGCCTTCTCCTGCCTCTTTCTTCCTCCCTTTCAGCCCCACACATGTCCATTGTAACTGACCAGATGTTTTCCCAAAAGGAATTAATTAAACAGCAGTCATAGAGACCCACTGCAGAACTGCTGGAAGACCTAATCCATGATACTGAGGATTGGTCATTTTTGTAAGAAGAAGTTGTTTTAAATGAGAAGGAAAAAAGCCATTATCTTTAGCAAGCCAGTCCATAAGCTGACTATGTGAAACATGAGCAAATTCAGCTCTTAAATCTAAAGGTACTGAACTTCTGAGGAGCATAAGGTACAAAGCAAAGCAAAGGACCCTCCATTGTTTTGATGGGTTCTTCAACACTGTCAACAAAATGTTGCTTGGGTCAATGTTCACACAATTTGTGCACCTGACATTCAGAGTGACAACAGGAGCCCTCTGATAGCAACCTGAAGTCAACTCAGCCGAAGACCTAAACCACAACAACAACATTAGCAGCGAATACAGTATATGTTATACTGAGCGTCCCTGTCTCTTTGCATTAGAACTAGCGACAGCAAAGTACTTGGAACGCTGAAATTATTTCTACCAGTCATGCAGAAGAAGACAGAAATTGCAGGGTACAGAGGACAGATGGTTAAACAAAAATTCAACAGATTTCTCACCCACCCCCTCCAACTCCCACACGCTCCAGTATTTAATTTCTTTCTTCAAATTATGAAGCGGGGGGAGGAATTACAGACCAAAAACAAACCTCCAACAATAATCAGGGAAGGAACATCGTGTGCTGCCTTTCATGTTCTTGTAATTAAGAAAAAAAATCACTGTGTCAGTTACGCGTGCAAAATAAACAAAACATTACCTATAACACCCGATACATGAGGATTATGTATTTCTCTTAAACGCTTAACAACGGCCTCTTTTCCCCAGCCTTGGTTTGCACTAAACATACACAACCTGCTTTTTTCGACAGCCTTTGGAAAAACACAAGAGGACGTATACAAATCCATTACTTACGGCTCTGAAAAATCCCGCACTTTGGGTCGAGACAACCATAGAAAGGCATTTAAGGGAGAGGGGAATTTTCCCGGGGAAAACAAGAAAGCAAAATGTGAAGGTTTCAGGTCCAGCAAACGGTGCTGCTGCTGCTGCTGCTATCACAACAGATGGGGACTGGTGTTTGGTGCGTTATCAATTCCCAAAGCACAGGAACCAGGGAGACGGCAGGAATGCAAGGTAAACCCAGGAGAACACAGACAACGGTTTCATCTGATGCTCAGAGGCTGCAAGCCAGGCATGCCTGCGACAACTCAGATTTGATTATTCCAAGAAATCTCCAGCCCACCCCTATTAACTTTATTGAGAGGGTGAGCCAGAATCCTAGGGAGACTGAGTACTAAATTGTGGAGATGTAAAAATAAAGGGGGGGATGTGTTTGTCTATCACACGGGGTTAGTGGACCGTTTTTTTTCCAGGGGAGGGTGTTAAGATATTGGTAACTATGGGAAGGCAGGATTCTCTGGAAAAGGCAATAATGCTTGGAAAGATGGGAGGCAGCAGGAAAAGAGGAAGACCAGATGCAAGATGGACTGACTCGCTAAAGGAAACCACAACCTTGAGGTTGCAAGAGCTGGGCGGGGTTGTTGAGGACTGGACATTTTGGAGATCCCTCATCCATAGGATCACCATAGACTTGATGGCACATAACAAGAAACGAGGATAATCTAGTAAGGGCAGCCGGTACGAATGGAAAGTGGGAGCATTCTGGGAAGAGGCCTGCCTTTTGCTTCAGCGGGTTTTGCACCTTGTTAAGAAAACTGTCAGTCTGAAACCTTTCTGGATTTCTTTTTTTAGACTATCCTTGGAGGAGATAAAAGCAAGACACGTACGCTTGATGATGACGTGCAAATCAGCAACTGGACTCTTATTTAATTCATTGCTACTCTTCTTTACAGGCCTACCACACCAGTGTCTGCTGATTCCAGACTTGTGGCAGCGTGCCTATAATCTTGTGCTGCATTGCATTCCCTGCAGCACAGCAGAAGAGACACCCCCATTACTATTGCTTTTCCTCCCTGCAACCGAGGATGCATTGCATTCCCTGCAGCACAGCAGAAGGGGAAACAATAGGATGGAAAGAAGGGATAAAGTAGGAATATCAAGAGACACCCCTATAACTATTGCTTTTCCTCCCCGCAACCAAGGGCCTCTCCCAAATATCACTCTTGTAAGGAGAGGTGCTGAAGCAGTAGGTGGTGATGGCAGTCACATCAGGATAATCTCATGGACCTCATCTCGTACAAACAGATTCCTGGATGAACTCGCACGATCTCTTCCTAGAAAGCTATCAACAAGCCATTCCTTATGGTAACCAGTACTAATACTGTACCTTAATGCACCAGTTTCATGACTCCTCTCCAGATACGACAATAGGCTAAACGTAGCAGGCCATTAGAAGTGGAGCTGCCTTAAAAGACATCTGTTTGACTTTGTTTCCATAGTTTGCAAATTAGTTTGGTTTGGTTTTGTGACTCGTCATCAGGAGCATGAGTTTTATTTACAAGTCTAACCAACGAGGTACTCACCTTTGAAGAACTTACACTGTCTAATGACAGGCAAACTATACTGCACATGATGATTCTAAGAGAGGAGTTTGAATCACACAGCCAAGAACGCTCCCTGCATCCAAAGAGCAACATCATATCCATACAGTCAGAGAAACAAGTGTAAAAGTGACTCCTGAGTCTACCAAGAGCCTAGCTCATTAGATGCAATATTTTGTTCTCTCTAAACTCCTGTGTCACACACTGAAGTGACCCCTATGCGTAGTGATAGCACAGATTCAAGTTGGTCTCTTGGCTGTTAAAAGAATGGGGTAGGGAAAGCTACATTCACCCCCAAGACACAACACGGAGATAGCCAATCAGAATGACCAACACATCAAGATACCTCTCAAGACCACACTAGTAATGTGACATCATATATCGAGATCATGCAACATTTTATATATGTGTGTGTGTGTGTGTGTGTGTGTATATATAAAATACAGTCTGGTTTAGACCACTTCTGCTTTTTGATTTAACTCAGAATTACATTAGAACTGGTAATGTGACATCATATATCGAGATCATGCGACATTTTATATATATATATATAAAATACAGTCTGGTTCAGACCACTTCTGCTTTTTGATTTAACTCGGAATTACATTAGAACTAAAATGGAAGGCACTCAGCAAATGCCGCTGTTGATTTAATCACTGCTTTGTACTCAACGGAACAAATGGAATTTTAATTGCTCTCAACATTTTGTTTGCAAGTTGTTATTGGTGACACAGAGTTTTGTATCATTTTGTCAGTCCTCTGATGGGAAGCCAGAATAGCACTCCATGTTTTTGTTGCAGTGTTTTCAATTTCTGCTAAAATTCTCTGTGCTGCATACAGTACAAGTGCAGAGATTCACAGAGAATAGCTACAAGTTCCTCAAACAGTCATCCCTTTTCTCATTAACTGGCACTTAAAGTCTCAGTAACTCACTCTGAGACATAGGTAGGAAAAAAAGAGTAAAATGTTTCATGACTTAACAGTTTTGAACAGATCAACAGCAAACAAGTAACTGACTGCAGCAGTTGAAACAGAAGCGGAAAAAACCTCAGAGCAGAGAGACTGGGCTCTCTTTGAATTCAGGGGCAAGAACTACTGATCAGTGCTTGGTAAGTTGGCAACCACACCAGCCGAAAAACATCCTCTCAGCCACACCTACTATGGGCAGCATGTGAGGTTCTAAAACCTCCAGCAGTTTTTACACACATGCTGTATGAAGTGAAACTGTTTCGGACCTGTTATTATACAACAAGGACAAACTGATCTTTTGAAACGGAAAGAAGGACTTGGAAATAAGTTACAAGGAACATAGTTACCTATAACTAGTTACTTTTCTGGCTAACAAAAATGGAACAGATTGGCACTTCAGAAGTAATATAACAGGAATGCTCACAGTCAGTGCTATTGATGTAAAGGGTAACATTCTGTAGTTACTGCCCAAAGTTATTTTTCAAGGGCATTTTAATGCATGTAAACTGGACATGTCAAAGATGCACAATGACAAGAAAAGGGTATTTTTGGGGTGGGTAGAGTTGTTATTTTTAAAGTCAAATGCACTGGCTTTAACAAGTAATGTCAAAAACAGACAAAACTATATTTTACCTATTTAAATGGCTGACAGATAAACCATTTTTACGTTATGAGCTAGCTGAGCCGATTGGATGCCTTTAGGGATAATAAGCACACCCTACAGCCATAGTTGCAATTTCTAATAGAATAGAGATCCACAGAAATTAGTCTTTTAAAAAACAAAACAAAACTGGATCCTTGAATTCCTATTGTCTGATTTCTAGTTGCGATGGGGGCCTGCTACCATTCTCCCGGGCAAATCTAGAACACAAACATGCCTTTAAGGGCACAGACTATCCGGGTGAACTTCTTCAGACAAGAAATATGGGGTTTTACGACAAGGATAATGAGAGGAAGCACTTTTTAAAAAGTATATAGGAAAATTAAAACCGCGTCGCCTTGAGGCTGCCAATCACATTTCAGAGCCCTTGTAGAAGAGGAAAACGCTTCCAGTTAACACATCTTAACCTGTAATAACAGCTGAATGGACATGTTGAAGTTACATAACAAGTCTAATACATCCTGCATATTTTCAAAGGGGGGAAGGAACCCACACGATATATAGTAAAATAGTGCTATACAAGCCTCTGGTTCATATCTTCTTTTGCAACTGGTCAGTGAAAACAACACACATTTTCTTCTTTTGAGTAATCTGTGCTCTGAAAGATCAGGAATATGCAAATGTAAATCGCCCTGCTTATCTCTACGCTTCCGTATCACACTTCAAAAAGACACACAACGTGTATAGAAACACCACAATAACCA